GGGGAGCATTGCTGTCTGAACGGTATTAAATCTTCCAGTCCAGGAGCCAGGGATGTCTTTTCCTTTAATAGGTCTCCTTTGTTTTAACCAAGTTTTGCTGTTTTTAGAATGTGAGTGACACACTTCTTTTGTTAAATTTATTTCTAAGGATTTTTTTTTTGTTCCTCACCCAAGGATATGTTTATGGATTCAAGAGAGAAGAAGAGGGAGATGTGAGAGAGAGACATCGATCAGTTGCCTCTCACGTGTGCCTTACCAGGGATCGAGCCCACACCCTTGGTGTGTGCCCAGACTGGGGATCAAACCGCAACATTTTGGCGTACAAGACAGCACTCCAACCAACTGAGCCACCCGGCCAGGGCTATTTTTAAGTATGTTTGAAGCCATTGTAAAAATAGAATTGCTTTTGCCCTGGCAGAGTAGCTCAGCAGGTTAGTGCGTCATGTCAGTGCACCAAGGTTGTGTGTTCGATCCCCAGTCCGGGCACATACAAGCATCAACCAGTAAATGCATAAATAAGTGAAACAACAAAACATCTTTGTCTTTCTCCCTCTCTCCCTTCACACCTCTCTCTCTCTCTCTCTCTAAAAATCAATAAACTGCATTATAAAAAAATTGTTTTCTTAATTTTATTTTTGGATTATTCATTGTCAGTGTATAGAAATACAACTGACTTTTGAATATTGATCTTGTATCCTGCAACCTTGCTGAAATTATTCTAATGGGGGGGGTGTATTCCTTACAATTTTCTTTATTTTTTAATTTTTTTATTTTGAGAGTATGTTTATTAAAGCTGGGGCAGTGAGACAAAAGGAAGGGCTTAGGGCAGAAGAAGCCACAGGGCAGAGCCTAGGCGGGTGCGCTGGCTCCCTCGAGACAGTACAGGAAGGAAGGGAGCCCAGGCGGCGCTGCTCTCAGCTCTCCAGGAAGGCAGAGCAAAGGGGGCCTCGGAGACAGGATCAGGGGTCAGCCCGGGACACGCCGCCGCTGCCCGTGGCTCCCCTGGTTGCAAGTCTGTTGAGGACCCCCAGAGTTTAGGAGCGAAACACCCGAGAGGGAAGAAAGGCGTGGCCATGCTCTGGAGAGAGCCACAATTTTCTCTAACCAAGACCGTGCCACCCACAAAGAGAGAATTCTTAGTCCTTCCTGTCCAGCCAGAAGCCTCCTCTTCCTTTTCCTTGACGAGCGGCCCCGGCTCCAACCTCCAGCGCTGCGCTGCGTGGGACTGGCGAGAATGAACATCCTGTCTTATTCGGACCTGGGCATGTGATTGTGCTGCCAAGCACCTGGAGTGTGTCTGAGCCGCACGGACGTGCCGGGAGCGGGTGAAGCGAGGCCGTGAAAGCCGGGCGGTGCCCCAGAAAGCTGGGGTGCATGGGGGTGTTTCGGGGCCCTGATTCTGTCCGTTCAGCCACTTAGCACGCAGGAAGCTGATCTATCAATTCTTTTTCATTCTGATTTGTTAGGGTTTTGGGTTGTTTTGTTTTTTTTAATCTGGAATTTAAAAATCCACAGTGCCTGTTTTGGACCCCACTTCCCGCTCTGGACACTCTGTGGTCGAGCGTTGGGGCCCTGGAGCGCTTTCGTGAGAAGACGGTGCATGATCCAGGCGGAGCGACGGCCTGTCCAGCTCAGGGGCTCCACGCGCCATCATGAAATCTCCATTCAGGCGTTCATGGTGCTGTTGACACCTGCGACTGCCTGAGGGCCCTGCTCCCGGAATGTGCACCCCCCCTCCCGCCCCAGGCGAGGTGAATTCTGCTCTTTCCTGCAGAGGAGGCATCTGTCATCGCACTTTCAGAGGCTGGAGCAAAAGGGAGCCAAAGCTCCCTGAGTTATGCACAATTATTTAAACCAATTGCCATCCCCACAGGGGAAATAACAGTTGCGTGTACCTGTTAATTTGTTCCACTCCACAAATATGTACCAGGCACGCGGGGCTGGGGGTGGCAAATGCCACACGCCTTCTGGGGGACGGGCGGCAGGGAGGCAGGAGGACTGACTGCAGACTCAGCCATCGCGGATCAATTGTGAGAGATGCCCGCAGAGAAAGGAAGAGGGTACCAAGGGCCCAGCCAGGGGAGGGCTTGGCGCGGTCCCAGGGCGAGAAGGCCACGCAGGCGAGGTGCTGCCTCATGGGCGGGCTTCTGGGGCGCAGAGTAGTTCTGGAAACAGACGCTGCTGACGGCATCTGTTCATAGTGAACGCTGCTGAACTGTACACTCCGAGTTCGATCGTCTCGTACATCCCACCACAATTAAAAGCAAAAAGACCATCCCTGGAGGGGCAGCCCTGGTGCGGGGAGGCGGCGGGGGGGGGCCGGGGGCCGAGCTGTGTCCCCAGACACCCCGGCCTCAGGAGGCCTACTGGAGACGGAGGGGGTTCAGAAACCTCCAAAACAAAAAGATAAAAGAAGAAATTAGAGACTGAAGGTTAGAGTGTTTCTAAGTAAGTGGGCGTGCTTAGGCTATTTACCAAGTCCCCGAGAGCACGCCTGTGCTGCCCTTCTAGGCGCCTGGGACCAGCAGGCCTGTCTATTCCCCAGGCCCAGGCTGCTCGCAGCCGGCCTTCGGGGCGGAGCCGAGCTGACACCACCCCAGGGCTGGCCCAGGGTGCCCGGAGACCCCCGGCGAGTCGGGAGCCTGCGCCCTCGGACGGCCACCAGCCACGGCAGCCAGGGGGCCGCTTCCTTCCTGTCTGAGATGATGCGAAGGGCCTGGAGCTGGAGTGAGGGCCCTGAACACGAGGGTGGCACTGACTCACCACACCAGCTCAGTATCCCTCACACTTAAGGACGCTTCCCAGGGCAGACCCAGGACCCGCTGCTTCAGAGGCCGCCGCGCTGTCCCTCCCCGGGCCTGCGGCTCCCTTCCCCCGGGTTCTCTCGTCGTTGCTCTGCCCATCCAACGTCCAACGCGGAGCCTCCAGGCCCCCCAGCCAGGTGATGCCCCTGCCCGCACCCCAGGAAGGCTCCCCTCTCCCCTCCTGACCGAAGTGAGGTCTGCTTCACGGCAACAGTTGCCCCCTTCCAGGGGCTCCCCCAAAACTTGCCCCTCCTGGCTGTCCTCACGCCTCCTCTGGGCTCCTCATGGCCTTCACCGCAGCTGCCGCCCGTGTTTCCCTCTGCCCTCCTTCCCCCCATGACGCCAGTTTTGTGTGTGGGGCCCCTCCCGCACCATACCAGGCTGCTGCTTAGTGGGGGTGCTACGGAAGCTGGATGTATAGGTGCCTGGTAGGGATAGCCGGAAGTTCAGAGGGCAAGAGGTGGTGAGGGTGGGAGTAGTCCAGGAAGACTTCCTGGAGGAGGCGAGGCTTAGACTGGGGCTTGCAGGATGTTACACTCCAGGACAGTATCTGTGGTAGAAGTAGAAACTAAGGTGACCTCACGGGATGGAGGGAAAGTCCCACCTGAGTAGGTGAGTCTTTGGAAGCAATAGCTGTCAGTTTTGAACCCTTGGTAATGCCAGGTGAGGTAATGGCACCGGGGCCCAGCGACTTGCTCCAAGTCACTTTCGCATGCCAGGGGGCTGCCTCCTGCGTCTTTTCATTTGCCCCTTAGGTATAGCACACCATTAAATTCAGCTGCTTTAAGCTCTATGGGTTTTAATAAATATATACACCTGCGAAATCACCTACTTTTTGGATACTTCCAAACGTTCCCTCTGGTCTGAGAACCCCACTCGGACTGCGGGCCCCAGGCCACTGGCTCATCCATGTCCTGGTGCAGTTTTGCCCTCTCTAGCGTTTTATGAACATGAGATCGCACTGCAGCTTTGTTTGTTTGGTCCTTTCACTCGCTGTAATGCTTTTCAGGAGGATCCGCGCCTGACCACTGTTGAGGCTTCCCAACTCAGCCTGCATCTCCGGTTACCTCTCTGACTTGGTTCTGTGTCCAGGTGTTGCAAAGCTCTGTGTAAAATCGATTTCGCTACTTGAAGCTCCAAGCATTACACGGTTGTTGGTACCAAATTCAATTGGTTTTTGTACACTGATCTTCTGTCCTAGAGCCCTGTGAGATTCCTGCCAGTTCTCAGACTGTTGTTTGCAGATTCCTTAACCTGTTGTCTACATACGACTGAGTATCCTGTGAATAAACCCTTTCCCAGGCCGCGCCTGTTGACCTCATTAGCGCACAGGACCTCGGCGCACCGGGCCTGGCCTGGCAGCGGCAGGTGAGGGCTCCTGACCCCCTTTGGGGACGCCCTGGCGGGGTGCCCGCCTCGCCCCTGGGCTGGGCACTCACCCCCCTTCAGGGCAGCCTGGCAGGCCTGCTGGGGAGCGCTGCGCATGCTGGCCTCAGTGCTCTCACGGCGCCTGAGGGCACAGACCCCCACCCGCGCCTCCGGCCTTCAGGCCCGTCCCTGCTCTTCCTGCAGCAGGCAGCCTGCCCGCAGATCGCGGGCTTTGGAGCGACACGCAGGCTCCAGCGCTGACCTGTCTCCTGCAGTCACTCCCAAGCACGGTGCCTGGAGGACTCTGGGCCCAGTCCCCACTGAGCACCAGGCGCTGACCTTCCCACGGGGAGTCCCACGCTCCCCCTGCCGTCAGTCACCATCACCTCTCCCAGGTGGCCTTGGACTCAACCCAAATGCTGGAGGGAACCCAAGGTCCAACTTCCAGACTGGGAGACCAGAACGTAGCTGCCACCATTCCCGGCCCCAAGGGGACCTCAAGTGCCCCCCGACAGCCCCCGCAGCCTGAGGCTCAGCAACGGCACTGAACCAGCCACGTGCCTGGGGAGGAGGCGGCTAGCCCATCTTCGAAGAGCTCGGGGACCTTCCGGAGGCCAAGGTGTTCCGCATTTTCAGGGACTCTGCCCCCACACCCGCCACCCGTGTCCCCACGGCAGGTCACAGTACAGCTTCAGCGGTCAGGTGGGAAGCATTTCCCCCTGGAAATCTCCCAGGCAGGGGGCGACACAGCCAATGCTTCTCCATCCGCGAACCACCCCGTCCTGTATCAGCCCCGCGGCCGCCCCACAGAAGACAGTCTTCACTAAATTTTCTTTTAATTCGTCTGTATTTGTCACAACCTTTTAAAGCAGAATGTGACTTGAGCACTACATTTCCATTCACAAAACTCTTGAGCTACTCTGCAGGAACGGCCTGACCACACACCCAGGCCGGCTCCCACGCCCGCCGCTCTGAACACGCGTCTTGGGAACCACGCCTGTGGCGAGTCGCCATCAGGTTGGTTCAGCTCAGCTCTGACTCCTAGAGGCTGCGCATGCAGTTGTAACTACAGGGGATGGAAGGGTTACAAAGCAGGTGGTAGGAAAGTTGTTTACCTGGACACTTCAACAACAAAAGATTAAGGACCACAAAGTGAACAAACATTAGGCTTCACACACCTTAGAACAGAACCTCATCCTGTTAAAATAAGCCAACATGAAACTGAAGAACTAGCTCCACTCGGGGCCGGAACCCTAACAGTATCTTACACGGTGGAAAGAGACCTTATCTTTCCTTAAGTAGTTACTGCCATGCCGTACAGGTTTTTTGTATGTTAACAAAAATAAAAGTCCTTGGGAAGCGACCACCCCGGGGGACGCGGGGCAGGGCGGCGCGGGCAGCCTAGTCCACCTCCTCCATGCGCGAGGTGTCGTCCTCCCCCTCCAGGGGCGGCATCTCCTCCGTCACGGCAGCGCTGCTCTCGTCTGCCGTCGGGTCGTCCTCGTCGATGCCTTTTTGGAAGCAAAAGCCCGGCTGTTAGATTTCTCCAGGCCAGCTCTCTGCCCCGCCCGCCCCCGTTCCCGCCGAGACCGATGAGGAAACCCCCCCACCCCCTCTCCATGCGACTGGCCCCGTGACCACCCCCCAGGCCCCACGGGACACCGCGGTGGTGCTCAGGCAGCTGACAGGAGCCCCGCAGTCGCCAAGCTTTGTTTTCTGACAGGAGGCTCACCGAGACCGAGCTTGATCATCCTGTAGATCCTGTTGGCGTGCGTCTGGGGGTCCTCCAGGCTGAAGCCAGAGGACAGGAGCGCGGTCTCGTACAGGAGGATGACCAGGTCCTTCACGGACTTGTCGTTCTTGTCGGCCTCCGCCTTCTGCCGCAAGGTCTCGATGATGGAGTGGTCCGGGTTCACCTCCAGGTGCTTCTTCGCGGCCATATAGCCCATTGTAGAGTTGTCCCGCAGGGCCTGGGCCTTCATGATTCTCTCCATGTTTGCTGTCCAGCCATAGGTGCTCGTGACAATGCAGCACGGGGACGTCACCAGGCGGTTCGACACGACCACCTGCGTGTAATCAAAGCACTGAGTAGTAACATCTGAGGAACCCAAGCACTGAGGAGCCAGAAAGACTATGTGCTCCCAAGCCCAGGCACCTGAAACTGCCCCGTAGCTGGCCCTGCAACTCCTCGGGTCTCTAAGGGCCGTGGAGAGCCACCCCGTCACCACGCGGGGAGGCTAACAGCTTCCCATCACGAAATTAAGAGAACTCACAACAAAGAGACCGTGTATGGATTACACTTGGAAAAACCTCATACAGCTTCTGAGCGTCACAAACCAGAAAATGCAGGTACAGAAGAGAACGGTATGGTCACATACCTTTTCTACTTTTTTCTCCAAGATGTCCTTCATGATTTTGCAGAGGTTTTCGAACTTGGTCTTCTTCTCCTCCTGTTTCTTCTTCTCCTCTTCATCTTCCGGAAGCTCCAAGCCCTCTTTGGTGACAGACACGAGTGTCTTCCCCTCGAACTCCTTCAGCTGCTGCACGCAGTACTCGTCGATGGGCTCGATCATGTAGATCACCTCCAGGCCGTGCTTCCGCAGGCGCTCCACGAATGCCGAGTTCGCCACCTGGTCCTTGGTCTCGCCTGGTGGTGGAGAGTGACTTTCAGACCTTTCACAGGAAGGGGCTTCGCTTACTGGCAGCCAGATCCCACCAGCATAGACGCCGGCTCACATCGCCCCCCTCGCCCACACGAGCGCCCTCGTAACCACGCGGCCCGAGTGCTCGCCGTGCGTCACCTGTGATGTAGTAGATGTGCTTCTGGTTCTCCTTCATCCTCGTGCAGTAGTCCTTCAGGGACACCATCTCGTCGCCGGACGCGGACGTGTAGTATCTCAGCAGCTCCGAGAGCTTCTTCCGGTTTTGGGAGTCTTCATGTATTCCCAGCTGTAACACAACACGGGCCTTAGAAAGACTTTTTCTGCATGAAGGAACATTTAAAATTTGAGAATCCAGTTTAGTGCTACTAATGCTCAAATGTGTTTATACCAACCTTAATATTTTTAGAGAACTGCTCATAAAACTTTTTGTAGTTCTCCTTGTCTTCTGCCAGCTCGGTGAAGAGTTCCAGGCATTTTTTGACCAAATTCTTTCTGATAACTTTCAAAATTTTGCTTTGTTGCAACATCTCCCGGGAAATATTTAGAGGAAGATCCTCGGAGTCCACCACACCTCTAATGAAGTCTGAAAGTCCATACAGACCAAAGTCACTCTTAAGAACAAAAAGCAATCAAATATGTACATCCCCCAAACCAAAGAGGAGCGACCCCTCCCCACACATTTCAACAATCTCAAGTGCTCAGTGAATTAACCAGTGACGGAGATCGTGCTACCCAACTCTACTCACTCAGATACTCGGGGATCAGCTCCTCACAGTTATCCATGATGAAAACTCTACGAACATACAACTTGATGTTGTTCTTTTTCTTTCTGTTTTCAAACAGGTCAAAGGGAGCACGTCTTGGCACAAAAAGAAGGGCTCTGAATTCCAACTGCCCTTCAACTGAGAAGTGCTGTAACGAGACACACGTCGCGTCACTCAGTGGGTCAGTGGGTTGCCACTCGCAGCCCCCCAGCCCGCGCGCTCCGGGGAGCGGGCCCGGCCAGCAGCCCCGGCGGCCACTCACTCACCTTCACTGCCAAGTGGTCCTCCCAGTCGTTGGTCAGGCTCTTGTAGAATTCCCCGTATTCTTCATTCGTAATGTCGTCAGGGTTTCTGGTCCAAATGGGCTTCGTTTTGTTCAGCTCCTCTCGATCAATGTACTTCTCCTTGATCTTCTTCTTCTTCTTCTTGTCACCGTCCTTCTTTTCTTCTTCCTCTTCGTCAGAGCCAACATCTTCAATTTCAGGTTTGTCACCAGACTCCTTTTCTTCTTTTTCTTTCTCCTCTTCCTTCTCTTCCTTTTCTTCAGCCTCGTCATCACTGACTTCTTTATCACGTTCCTTCTCCACCTGCAAAAGGGCAAAATCACACAAAAAAATTAAAGGGCCATCAAGACTTCAGAACAAAGGCTAAATGAGCTGAGAAACATCTCGCTGATACCTGATGTATTTAAGTAAATACAGCCCTGGGCCACCAGGACCCTGAGGAAGAACCTCAGACTAGCCCAAGAACTGCAGGGATTCTGGACCTTTCCATCATCAACAGATTTTAAAAACTAAGGATTTTAGTTTGATCGTTTAGTTGTCTACACACAAGTCACACAGAAACGTACAAAGAGTGTAATGGGGTAGCCAATGAACTGAGAGTGTTTCTTCACTATCTCCTTTATCCTCCGCTCCTCCAGGTACTCGGTCTGGTCCTCTTTCAGGTGCAGGATGACCTTTGTCCCACGACCCATGGGCTCCCCTGAAAGGAAGGAAAAAACCCAATTTTTATCTCAATGACCAAGCCAAAGTCAGAAAAGTACAACCTTGCCCCGGCTGCTGCAGCTCAGTGGATTCAATTAAGTGCTGGATGGTGAACCGAAAGGTCGCTGGTTCAAGTCCCAATCAGGACACGTGCCTGGGTGGTCGGGCCAGGCCCCCAGTTGGGGTCAAGCAAGAGGCAACCATGCTTCTTTCCCTCTTCCCCACTCCTGTCCCTCTCAAAAAAAAAAAAAAAAAAACCCCAACAAAAAAACCAAAACCTTAAAAAATAACATCTCTTCAGCTACAAATGCCACACCTAACACTTTCTGAGCAAGTCTGTGAAGCAAGATTCAGTGTTACTGGCCAGCGTTCGTCCCACGTGGTCACCTGCCTCACCAGAGATAAGCCGCCACGAGGCCAGCCTGTTAACGCCACCACCCCCCAGCAGCTCGCGACCCAAGGCCCGGGGACCTCAGAGCCCCCCCCCCCCCGCGGGGGCCCCGCCGGGCGCGCACCTGTGTCGGTCCTCACTGTGAACGAGCCCCCCGCGGAGGACTCCCAGGCGTACTGCTCGTCGTCATTGTGCTTCGTGATCACCGTCACTTTCTCAGCAACCAGATAGGCCGAGTAGAACCCGACACCGAACTGGCCGATCATGGAGATATCTGCGCCGGCCTGCAAAGCTTCCATGAACGCCTTGGTTCCAGACTTGGCGATGGTACCCAGGTTGTTGATCAAGTCGGCCTTGGTCATCCCGATCCCAGTGTCCACAATGGTGAGCGTGCGCTCCTGCTTGTTGGGAATGAGGTTGATGTGCAGCTCCTTCCCGGAGTCCAACTTGCTGGGGTCCGTCAGGCTCTCATATCTGATCTTGTCCAGGGCCTAACAGAGCGCACACACGGTCAGGCCCGGCCGCCCGGGGGGGTCAGGGGATGTGAAACCAGAACCCGACGTGGCCTGACGGGCACTTACATCGGACGAGTTCGAGATGAGCTCGCGCAGAAAGATCTCCTTGTTCGAATAGAAGGTGTTGATGATCAGCGACATAAGCTGCGCGATCTCCGCCTGGAAGGCGAACGTCTCCACCTCCTCCTCCTCCATGGGCTGATCGTGGCTCTGGGCTTCCTCCGGCATCTACAGCGACACGAGCACTTGAGGCCCCGCGGCGCGTCCCCCCGGGTCCCTAGAGCCCCCTTCAAGCTGCACGCGGATCGGCCGAAGGCCGCCGACAAAGCGATGACCTCATTCCTGCGGCCGCGCGGCGGGCGGGAGCGCGCCCCACGGCGGCCCGAACGACTCACCGACAGGCCGCGGGCGCCGCCTCACTGCGGCCCGGCGGCTCCACCGCGACCGGCCCCGGAGCGGCCTCCCTGCCGGCGTGCCCGCCCCCACACCCGCCGCCGCTTCCCCGGCCGCGCGGCCGGGCCCGAAGGTGGGGGAGGTGGGCCTGCAGCAGGCCCGAGGCCTCCGGACGGACCACGGTCGCCCCACGCCCGCGGTCCCAGGGTCCCCACTGCTCCGCACGTGCCCGCCAGCCCCCTAAACCTCATGTCCCTCCCGGGAGGAGCCCCCCCAACCGCCCCCTCACCTTGGCGAAAGGACCGCACAGGCTCCGCAACCACGCAGCAGCAGGGCGACGCAGAGGCAACTGGCGCGCAGCGCCCGCTCCTCCCTTATATAGACGCGGGCCCGCCCTGCGCGCGCGGCGCCTTTTCCAGAAGGCTCCCGAACCTTCCGGAAGAACCCTCCCCAACTGCCGCCGCGGCCGCGCGCCCGCGCCTGCGCGCTGTCGGCCGCCCGCGCCTCCCCCAACCGCCGCCCCAGCGAGCCTGCGCAGCCTGGAAGTCTCGGGACGCTCTCGCGCTTTCGGCCGCCGCCCCAGCCCTGCCCCAGCCCCAGGGTCCTGCGTCCCCGGCTCGGCGCCGCGCGCGCCGGTATCCCCTCGCCGGCCTGCGGGGCCAGGCGTGGGGGCGCAGGGCCCGCGCTCCGGCGAAATCCGCAGAGTAAACTTGTAGCGCTGGGAGCGCCCCCATGGTGGGGCTGCTGGTGAACTAAGTGGAGGGCAGACCCTCAGATTCTGCTGGCGCCGCTCTGGCCTCGGAGCCGGGGCGCCCAGCGTCAGGGGCGGCTGCCAGGAGCAGGGCCTCGAGACCGTGGGCAGGGGTGGCGGGCAGGGAGTAGAGGCTCCGGCCACGTTTCGGGGCAGCCATGTGGGGTCCAGGCCCGGCGCTGGGGGTTAGGACCGCATCTCTTCCGGCGTGAGTGTGGGTTCAGGTTCCAGGAATTCAGGCAACACGTGCTTGCGTGCTCCCCCTGTGCGGGGCCAGCCCGTGAGGGGTGACCGGGGCCTGGGCGCCGGGAGGCCACCGATCCCCGGTTTCTGCCTTCACTAGAAGGGGGTCCCCGGGGTCCCGAGAGGTGCCGGGAGCCCGCCCGCCCCCCCCCCCCGGCGCCTGCCGTCGCAGGTCTATACCAGGTCCCACTATGCGCAGGGGACGTGCCCCGCGGCGAGTGCGCTGTCTCAAATTCTCCAGACCTGTGGCAACCCTTTAGTTTCTCTAAAACCACGTCCTTCGCGCTTTAGGGCCCCCCAGGCGGAATATGCGTCTTTTGGTGAACAAATGCGTGCGCCCCCAGCTACACCCATCATGATGAAGCTCGTCTTTACTTATTTTATGTCATTTCAGAGATCCGTATAAAGTATCTAATTCAGGCTAGGGTGATTAACTTGAGCCAAAAGCGAGTTTCTTAAGGGGAATCGGCCCAGTGTTTTGAGCCAGGCCAGGTGAGAGGTGCCAGAGGGGGAAGCTGGGTGTCTCAGGGTGGGGGCTGAGCGCCCCTGCCCCGCCCGAGACCCTTCCAGACTCTCTCAGGGACCGTCCCCCCACCTTCGGCTCCTTTGTCTCTAGCTCCTCCCACTGCGGGCCCTCCTCCCCATGCTCCGGGCCTTCGGGAACAATCTAGAAGCTCCTTATGATGTAAACAAACTTGACCGAACACCCCTCCCCTGGCTCGTCTCCAGGGTAACTAAGCTTTTCCAGGGACGGGATTCTCAAACTGGGGCGTGAGACCCGTTGGGAGTGTGTGACACCGGCGCGGGGCGTCCTCACTCGCGTTCAAACAGGAAAAACAGGACGGGGCCCTGCGCCCATGTGGTGGGTCGTCAGGCGTTTGCCCGGCACGTTGCAGAGCGTGTCTCCGTCTCCAGCGGAATCGGAGGCGCTCAGCCCAGGTTTTCCCACCGGCCTGGGCTCGGGGGCGGACGAGGGGGAGGAAGAGGAAGGAGGGGCAATCGAAACTGCAGGTTTCCTGTCGCCTTGTCGGCCGTGAAAGGTCACCACGCGGCGGTGGGGGCTGGCGCCACCAGCTGCCCTGCCGCTCTTGCGGCCTGGTGGCTGCTTCCTCTCTGCGCCGCTTCTGCAGCGGCCCGGGAGGTTCAAGAGGAGCCATTCCCAGGCCACCCCTGGCACCGGTGTCTCTCAGCAGCCCCATTTTACTGTCCCTCCCACCTTCCAGACCTTCCCGCCGTCCCCACCCGCCGGCCTCGGTTACTCAATCCAAGGACAGTTTCAGTCCTGCCCTCTGACCTGTCGGTAACTGCCCTGCCCTCCTTGGGGCTTCTGCCGGTCTCCCCCCTCCCCTTCCGGGCAGCTCACTGTGGCCTCCCCTCCACCCGCGGGAGGCCCCCGCCCCCTGGCCTGTGCCCGAGCTGCTGGAACAGGACCTGTGCGCAGATGAGTCACGGAAAAGCCGAGGCCAGGCCTCCTCTAGCTCCACACCTGGATGCCGAGGCTGCCAGGCGAGGCCCTGCCCCGCCTGGCCGCCTTCCAGGGCTCTCCAGCTGGGTGACGGTCCCACGTCTTCCAGAACACTACGCATCCCCACAGGGCACCGGGTGCGCCCTGCCATCCATGATCCCCGCTCCCCTCTGGAATCCGGCCGCTCTGCCCTCCCGTCACCGCCCACTTCCCTGGGTCCCTCACAGCTGTCCCCACGCCCATCGGCTCACCTGGAAGACCTCCCACGCCCCCTGACTGCTCCGGGCACCTGCTCGGGCCTGTCTCCACCCCGAGCCGGACTGAGCTTTGAGAGTACAGATCTGGCCCCGCCCGTGCCCCTCCACACGTGCCCCAAGCCCTCGCTGACACCCCATCACCCCCAAGAGAAGGGCGGCTCCGGAGGCAGGAGGGCAAGCCCGGGCGCCCCACCTGCCCGTCTGCCTCAGTTCCCACAGTGTCCCCTGCCTCTCTCCCTTTTTTTCTCACCTGAGGAAGCGTTTCCTGATTTTAAAGAGGACAGAGAGAGAGAGAGAGAGAAACATTAATTAGTTGCCTCCCTGTGTGCCCTGACAGAAGATCGAACCCACGACCCAGGCATGTGCCCTGCCCAGGGACCGAACCCACAGCCTGTGGTGCCCGGGATGCCATGCCCACCAACCCGACCGCCCACAGGGCTGTGCACCTGCCGCTCCTCTGGCCTGGAACACCATTCTCGCCTTTTCGCTTAATTAACACCCTAGTGGACCTTCGGCGTACGTGGTTCCTTGGGGACCCCTTCCCACTCCCGCCTGGCCTGCCTTCCAGGCCCTCAGGACTTGGGCGCCTCCTTCCAGCGTGAGCCACAGAGCCCGGCCCCATCTCGGAGCCCTCCAGCCCGCCTGGTCCACCCCCCACCTCGCTTCCCTGTCTACCCAGCCTCCGCCTGCCTCCTCAGCTTGGCGTTTCTAGCTCGTCTCCGAGGCCTGCAGAGTTAGCTTCTAACTCTTTGTTGAGCTTGTCCCAGAGTGATGTTGCTATCAGGGATAGCTGACCGGTTCCTCCTCCATGGGCGTCCCTCCATTAAGATGGGGCACGAGGCACAGACTCTGGATCCAGGTGCCCCGGAGCCAAGTACCACCTCTGCCGCTGCCGACCTGGGGGCACGGACCCTCCCCAACCCCCAGCTCAGCCTCTGTAAGACGGGCATGGGAATGGCTTCCTCCTAGGGTTGTTAGGAGGCGTAAACGAACTGCTTCAGGTTTTGGAAATGGCCAGGGCGGGGCCTGGCGCACAGTAACTGCCCTGTAGGTGGTCATGAGAGTGAGTAACTCTACTTTCCCTTTTGATTCCTTCTTTGAGCCATGGGTAACTTACAAGTGTGTTAGTTTCCAAGTATTTGGAGGTTTTCCAGATATCTTTCTGCTCTTGGGTTCTAATACTTAATTCCATTGTGATCAGAGATCACTTTGCATGATTTAAATTCTTTCAGGTTTATGGAGAATTCTCTTGATAAGTGTTCTGTACACAAAATAATCATGCTGAGGGGAAGACGCTAGTCATTTCTATACAGTTTTACAAAACGCAGGCTGATCTGTGGCATCGGAAGGCAGATCAGTGGGGGGGGGGGGCTGCCGAGACTGGGAGGGAGGGTGCGGAGGGCAGGAGGGCACTTTAGGTGACAAGTCTCTCCCCGGCTACTTGGCGGTGATGGGCTCACAGGTGCACGCCTGGGCCAAAACATATCAAACTGCACTTCAAACACGCCCAGGCCGCAGCATATCTCAAGTACACCTCATAAAGCTGTTTTTAAAAAAATTGACGTCGTCTAGCAGAGACCTTGTGTTCAGCATCAAGTTCTACAGGGACACCGAGTGGTTCACGCTTTGGGAAGAGGCACAGTTCACTTAGAGGAGGGTGGTGTCAGTTAATGCGCAGCGTGTGGGGCCAAGGGCTCACTGCATGGCCCAGGACCGCAGGAGACATGGGAGCCCTTCCTGGGAACCCCAGTCAGGCCTGCGGCCCCCCTGACTGGTGTGGATGCCCCTGGGACCAGTGAGACCCGGGAGGGCCCGCCCCTGCAGAGCTGCTGCGAGGAGCGGGGCAGGCTCAGGGGCCACCGAGGAGAAGCAGGCTGGCTGAGGCCACGCCCACAGGGTCCTACTTGGGTGGGGCGGTGGTCACCGTGGGGCGGCAGGTGACTGGTTCAGCGGTGTCTCTGTCAGGCCTAAACGTCTGTGGAGCACCCAAGAGGATGGGTGGGCAGGAAACAGGGTGGGGGACGTCAGCAAGAACTGGTGAAAGGGCTGGATGGGGGGAAGGGACCTGACCACTCGGACAGGCGCAGGGTGGCCTGACCCCCGAGTCTCTGGAAAGGCTGAGAGCTGGGAGCTGGAAGGGAGGGGCCTGGAGGCTGGAGGCTGGAGGCTGGCCTTCGGGGGGAGGGGATGCAGTGAGGGGTGGCTGGGTGGCGGGTCTCCCCTCCCCGCGCCCCTGCCCACCCCCAGGCTTGCAGAAGCCTGGCTGCTCTCCCCCGCCGGCTCGGGTCTGGCAGTGGATCCCTGAGCACAGAGCCCCTCCCCCGCACAGTGGGAGGAAGCTCGGGCAGCACCCTCGGGAGCGTCCACACCAGCGGGGGAGGGTGCAGGCTATAAACAGGCAAACAAGGAATGAGTCCCGTCTGGGTAGTTCGTTAGCCCTAAAGGAACCAGCCTTGAAGTTGAACTTCTTCCGGAAGCACCATCATTTCCCCTTGAATTCACCTTCAAACCTCCCGAGTCACCTGACTCACCCTTCAGCCTCTACGTCTGACAGCTGCCCAGTCTGGTGGATTTTTCCTTCAAAGTGCCCTGTCTCTTCCTGCCCAGGGTCCCACCCGAATTCCGGCCCCCGGCCCCCACATCCTGGCCTCTAAAGTGCCCTGTCTCTTCCTGCCCAGGGTCCCACCCGAATTCCGGCCCCCAGCCCCCACGTCCTGGCCACCCTCACTGGCTCTTGATGGATTTCTTTGTTCTAC